CAAGTGTACCTCATCTAGAAGAGCGAGGATGGCGTCCCGGTTGAGGGTGTCAACTCCTCTAACCGCCTCCCTATCCTCAAGGGTGACGACTTTCAGCATGGACTTGGCCAGCTGTACAAGATACGGCCTCTGAGAAGCATCTGCACATTCAACATTTTTTAGGTACTTAGTGTAAATTCGGCCAATAGACCGACTACTTTCAGAGGTACTAGACGACTGCTAATTGAATTTGACCCTCAAAGGGTAAGGGAAAGGAAACAATTCTTTGATACCTTCAGCAGCCGCCTCCTTCTCCTTCTCCTTCTCTTTCCGCCCTCAAGGACGACTGGAGACTTGGGAGGATGGCTTCACCCTGACCTACTGGCCACATGTTTCCTGGGTTTACCAGGAGTTGTCACGTCACTAGTCGTCTGTTTCCGAATCTTCGGATCTGGCTGTGAGTGAGGAGAGGGGTTGTTTGGGTCGCCCTGCAACAAAAACCACAGAGTGAGAAGCACGCAACAACAAATCAATCTTGGTTTAGACAAAAGGAAAAGAAGTTCACCTTGTGCGCCTGCAAAGCAGGCGACTGTTCAGTTAACCGCTTGCCCAGGATGGCCGAGCGGTATTGAGCAGCAGCTTTATTTGATGCCGAGAGCTTCTCCATAGCTTTATTTGCAAAAGATGAATCAAAGAGTTAGTTTGACACAAAATCAACCAAGTTTTACAAAACACTTTAACATGCGGTCAACTACCTCTCGACATCTCTCCACTAAGGCCACAGGCGGCCAGATATGTCCCATCGTATATCCAGTTATACTTGGGAATATAATTTTGAGGAATGAACTCCCTCGCCCCAACCTCAGGGTTCGCTTGGATATCCACTTTGAAGATGCCTTTATCAAGGATCTCTTCTCTGGCTTTACGAGGAATAGGCGGCAGTTCAGATCCGCTTGTTAGGAAAGGTGGGTTCTTGTTCCACTTGTTAAACTTTTTATTTTTGACTTTGTCAAGGCCGGAGACAATGTAGAAAGTGTTCCTCCAATCCTTCAATTTGTTCTCCTTCCCCAAAGTCATCATATAGCCCTTGTGGCTAGACAACTGGTACCAGCCGGTCCCGTTTGTTTTTGGGGTCCGACTGAAGTAGTGCATGTGGGCGAATGCTTCAAAGCTGGGGTCTACCTCGTGCATTTCGCAACCGGCAACATAGCCTAATATATTAAACCAAGAGTTTGGGGCCAGTTACCAGAGGCCCAGCTGGTATCCTTCCAGGATTCACTCCACAGCCGGATGTAGAGGAAATCTTAGGTCAGCCTTAATAGCCGCCTCATAGCAGCCAAAACACTCGTCCCCGTATTTGGACTTCTCTGGCCAGACTACGGTGTCCTCGGCATCCAGCGTGCATAAGATGTAACCATGCCCCATGACATGGTCAGCTCTAAAGCTCCCTATTTTGTCTGCCATCATTCTTCGCCTGCCTGCGGGAACATGATGGTAGTAGGCGGCATATTGCTCCCGGCGGGTAACAGATGGCTACGCCCAATCTTCTCCCAATTATACTGAGAGGGATTCTCTCGCTGCCTCTAGCCGAGAGTGCCTCTCTTCAAAATCATCAGAAAATTTGCTGGAAGTACTTGGCTCAGAGTCACGGCCTGAGCTCTCGGACCTAGCGTCCGCCTGATGGGCTAGATCAACAAAGCCCGGCATGTCATTTTGAACCTTCTCCCCTGATTCTTCTAAAATGGAATCACTGGAGGTGCTTGAGGCGAAAGGCGGCACGTCATATAACTCACTGACAGGCGCATAGAAGGAGGAGTCGTCTGAGTTTGTCACCCTTGCAGTTCTCTTAGTTCTGGCCATGGTGTCGTGCACAGACATATAAACAGCCGGACTTGGGGCAGTTCGCAAAGGGTGGTCCAGCAAGGGGCAGTCGACACTCCTAGTTCTAGATTCAGCCGTCCTCGGTGACCGGCAGATCACTAACCTAGGCCGTGCCATGTGCTTTTGGGAAACCATTTTAAAAAAGAAAAAGAAACAAAGAGAAAGCACTAAAGAAAAGCAGGCGGTTACCTTTAGTCTGTAAAGATGAAGGTGCTTGAAAAATCTTCAGCGGCTGTAAGAGCAGGCGGTCTGGTAGCAGGTGACAGTCGTTCTTTCTCAGAAAAAGATAAAGTTCTCAAGTCAAGAGTTCTGTCTAAATTTTTTGGAAATGTCCAAAAAATGATTGGGACATGCCTTATTTATAGGGGGTGAATTTCAAGAGACAATAAAAAAAAAAGGTAAAAACCGTTGGCCAGTCAGAATGTGACATCTGTCACAAGCGCCACGTGGTAAGGCACGTCACTCCTATGAGGGGCAAATGATTAGGGGATTTTTTCCCGCCACGTGGACCAATTAAATTCTGCCACGTGTCACCCTCGTGGACCAACCAAAGTCCGCCACGTGTCACCTCGTGAGAGGTCCAAGGTGGACCAATCAGGCCACGACATGTGGCAGACAGATTGTCGGCTAGGAAAGTGGCCTGAAACAGCCCAAATTCCTAGGCAAGCCTAGTCCATCCTAGGTTTCTGAAACCTAGTACTGGGCATGCATTACGAGACCCTATAAAAGGGAGATGTTCCCTCTGAGGAATATCATTCAGAAATTATAAACACACGTGTACATTAATTGCTGAGCATTAACTCCAGCTTTAATTGCACTCCTTGAGAGTCAAGGCTAGGATTTGAGGCTATCTCAGATAGCCAGAGGATCACTTCTCTCCTAAGAGGAGCCCGATCCTATGTACATTCCGCACTTTTTACATCCGAACACGTTCTAACTTGATCATTGGAGGCGGAACTCCCACCCACAGGAGTCTCCGTTGTTTTGCAGGTACAGGCGTCCAGAGGCCAGTCTTGGTGTTGTAACTCTCCTGCAGGACATCCATAAAACCCCGAAACACACTCCAAAGTAGAAAACCCTCTTTTGAGCATGTCTTCTTCCAGCCAAGAAATGGACACTAATGTGTTATGCCTGAACTACCCCCATTTAATGCTGGTGCGACACCTTTCCCACGTAGGCGCCAGGATGTTCCGCGGACCTATGGACCGCGCAAAAAACCCGTACCTAATCGTCACACTGTTCTTGCAAAGATAGCTGCTGGGAATTCCATCGCCCGCCGTAGCAAAGCCGCTAAGCTGGAGACACCAATCCTGGTTGTTCCTCACTGCTGAACCAGATGTCACCCAGATTTCCTACCCTGAAAAAATTTGGTGGTGACACAAGAGTCATCGATGTTAGTGGTGATGAAACTGAGGTGGAATCAAAAGGCCAGACCGTACTTGATGATACTCTTGAAGCAGCACAACAAGTCCCTCTAACTTTGTTCCCAAAGGTAACATTTCGGGTTCGTAGCCTAGCCAATGACGACCCCGGTGTTGAGTACAGCCTACGGGTGAATGAAAATTTCATGAGCATTTACTATGCATACGCTGAGAGGGTAGACCGCCTTCCGGATGAAATTTCAATTAAGAAGGTTGTAGAGCAAACTGCAGGGCTGGTGTTTTGTACAGAGACCCCAAAGAGTACCGGTGTTGAAACAGGTTTTGCCCTATATGTTGTTTGTTAGGTTCAAATTTATTTGCTTTTCTGTTTTTTATATTTTTAATAGTTCATGTTACATTGCTCTGTTTATTTGGATTAATGGTTCATGTTACATTGCTTTGTGTATAAAATCTACATATTCTTTGGATAAATGCTTCATGTTAAATTGTTTCACATATTTTGGAATATATTTGCTCAAATTTTTGTTTTTTTATATTTTTAATAGTTCCGATTACATTGCTCTATTTATTTGGATTAATGGTTCATGTTACATTGCTTTGTGTATTTAATCTGCATAGTCTTTGGATAAATGCTTCGTGCTAAATTGTTTCACATATTTAATGTGCATATTATTTGGAAGGTTGCTACGTGTTGCATTGCTGTGTTTATTTTATTTAATCTCCATGAAGAATGCTTCCTGTTACATTCCTTTGTTTATGTAATCGCCATATATTTGGATTTATGCTGCGTGTTACATTCCCTTTTTAATTTAATCTGCATATTATTTGGATAAATGCTAGAATCCCGAGGATAACATGGATGTCCGCACCAAGCTTGTGTATCTCCAAGAGCTGCGCATCCGCCCGCTTAGGAAGAAGGTCATCGTCCCCGTCGATGCATATCTGGAGGTGCAATTCAAAATCTGGAGTGATGAGGTCGATGTGAATCAGGAGATCATACAAATGTTTCATGAGAATCGGAATGTCCTCTCGTGTAAGACTTTCCGTAATGTTGGTGTTCAGAATGGCCACAAGTTGTTTTGCTGAAACAACATCTAGTCCATTCTTCGTCGAGGGAGATGTTTTTGTCCTTGTCATGCAGTTAGAATGTTATTTGTTAAGTTGATAAGTGAATTTGCTAATTAAGTTAATCAAATCACGTTGAGCATGAATCCATCTTTTGTAGGCGAGCTGTGTGATACTCTTTAAGGCCATTTGTGTCATAATCTAGAAGGCCATTTGATTCGTAGTCTCCAACTTAGTAGTAGGCGTTGCTAGATGTCTTTTGTGTCACAGTCCCATATGATTTGGGCAACAATATCAACCTTTTTCTGTATTATATTTGCTTGATTAATAAAATGATCAGTTGGTTTAGTTTCGTTGTTGATGATTATTGAGTGTTTATTACTATTATTTATTTGGTTTGCCTCATTTCTATATTCATTGTCGTAAATATGTAAAGATAATTTGTAAAATGGTAAAAAGTTGAAAAAAAAAAAACAAATGGTGCAAGGCAATAGCTGATATAGTAATATGTAAAGATAATTTGGATCAGTCTGTTACATCCAATTGAATAATGAACAATAAGGAAAGCATGTCCAATCAAATGGGCTGGGGCCTCATATTATTTGAATAGTCCTGGGCCTTATATCTTTTGGATCAATCTGTTATTTTTTATGGGCTAATAGCATGTTTAATCAAATGGGTCGTGGCCTCTTTTCAGTCAAATTCCATGTTGTATAATGCATAACACTTAAACATGCTCATCAGAAAATAAATTGTCAGAATATCATGAATATAGATAAATGTTTTTCTTTCCAAAATTATACTACAGTTAATATTAAAAAGATTCTTATAAATTAATGCTAAACAACTGCAGTCTAAACTCAAATGGTAACACTGCTTGTGGCAATTTTCTATTAACTTCAAGGTCCTTCCCCTCCTTTCCCTAACCTTGGACTTGGAGATAGCAGGCTCTGCTACCATCTTTGCAACAAAATAAAAACAATATTTTACCCATAATGCATCAGCACAACAATCACAACAGTAGCAATTGGTTGCATCTACAACACTTACATCGAACTCACCCTCGGGTGCTACACTGTCCTGTGCCTCCCTTGGGTGCTGTTCGCCATAGGCAGCGTCCAATACCTACAACAGTGTTGTCACAATCTCTCATATCAGACCCCGGTCTAGGGAAAAATTATAACCAAATACAAGTTCATTGACCTTACTTCTAACCTCCCATAGTCCCCGGTCACTAATTTGTCCAACTTCGATGTATTTCGAATCTGCTGCATATTCCATATCTTCAGTCTGGGGAATGATCCCAATCGACAGGATCCCTAGCCAAACAGTCTAGGTAAAAAATCTGCAGACATTTTAAATATAAAAGTTGTGTGCCAACTGCCTCGGTAATTGCATATCATATGAAAGATGTAATAGACCACCAAATCCCATCACATACACCCAACGTTTTCTCCTATCATCAAATTTCCCACAAATCCAACCAAATGATTCAATCCGGCAACATTAAATTAAAGTAATGATAAATACACTAGGTCCGAGAAAACAACACATTGCAACACTAAAACATTAAAAATCTTACCATCCTACTCCCCTTTGAATGTTCCTTCACAACCTCTGATCTAGCTTTGACACATCCACCGTAAGTTAAACTATCATCCTAAAAAATCAACAACATTAGCAATACTTTGTTCGGATTAGCACTGCAAAATATTCATTTCACAAAAGCATTAATTACTACCTTAAAAATTGTCGGGTACAAGGTTATTGTTTTTTCCTTGGCTTTCGATGCTTCCTGCAATCCTATGGAACAACAATATCTTAACAACACCACAGACAATAATAGAAAATAAATTTAATTGACTTACTAATACCCTTTTCTTCAATGTATATCCCTCCTCCTTAACTGAGCCAACCTACACAGTTCGAGCAAATGCACCTAGAATATACTTCTCCAATCTAAATTATACCACTAATAAGCTAACATGACACAGGGTGCTCACCTCATTTTTCTCACAAATTGTTCTTTAGCGCTTACACTTAACTTCAGAAGACATTTATAGGATCCTGTACAAGATTGAATCCAATTGTATGATTAAATACTTATACTACACAAGCGCAAATGAGGATTTCTCCAGATGAATCGATCCCACAACAACAGCACCAATATAATATTGTGGGTAATTAGAAGGAAACAAACAGTTCATTTCGAAGTTGAGGAACAATGAACGAGGATTTCATACAAGCTAAAAAAAAATTTAACTCATTTTCTTCGCAATTTATCTCGAAGAGCAGCTCAGTTCATTTTGATTTGAACTCAATTTTAGCCAATAATTTCTCTGCAATTCATTTCGATTTGAATGCAATTTATGCGCAATTCATATAGATTTCAATTCAATTTCTCTACAATTAATTTGATTTTTAATTCAATTTCATAACGAAGGAAATGAAAATCGAACAATTCCTAATTTCAATAAATACCACAATCAAATCAAATCTACATAAAGGAATTACCTTCCTCAGTGTCGTCGACTCCACAATCTTCGTCAAACTACCAGCTATGAAACTCGAACTAGAACAACACTAGCAAGTCCAACTTCGAACAACAAATTAGTTCAGCCCTAAGTTCTTTTTTAAATCTGCTCTCTTTCCAATATTCAGACAAAAGGAGGGTAATTCCAAATTACAGTAACACGTGGAATTTAACTCCTTCAAATAATCTGTTAAACCCATGTTGTATAGCTGTCACCAAGTTTTCCAGTCCATATAATGTGTAAATACGGGAAAAATGACGAAATTGCCCCCATGAGAAATGAAGCTAGTTAATCATTAAGAGAAACAGAGAATTCGCGTATAATATAAGTATTATTTTTAAGTTTTTCCTTCATCAAAATGTACGTAATTAAACAACTACGTTAGCGCCCTCGACACAAAATCCTTGCCTGACTCAACTTATTAAATGAGAGAGTATTAAATTTATTACTTGTCTCAATTCATATATATGAGCGAGCAATAAATAATTAATTATGCTTCATAAATAATATTGTATTTGCTTCTTATAAAATTGAATTAAGCTCGCATTAATTTTTTTTGTTATTTATAAAATAAAAATTCATGATTCAATCTACTTTAAATAAATGTATCATGCCATAATTAAACTATCACTTCTTATCATGCTTGTAAACAATTTATTAAACAAAATTCATCAAACAATTTAATAATAATCTTCCTATGATGATACCACTTCACTTTTCAAAGTACATATAAAATACCTAGTATGATACTATGTAGGTATTAAAAATTCATACATGTATACATAACTTATAAAATTATGGTCAATAGTCACAATCAATAAAAATCACCTAACTCGAAGTCCCTTATATCGTAAAATGTCAAAACTGCATAATTAAAATATTCTAAGACTAAAACAAAGGAAAAACCTTCCCATGTAAGAAGTAAAACTTGTAGGAAAATTTCTTAAAATAACGACTATTATAGTTATTTGAGAAAAAATATTACCGTGGTCTTTATACCCTATATCTATTTGCATGAATTTTCGCATTTTATTATAACTATTTACATATGCGATTAATGAGTTGGATGTTGTAAAACTGTGCAATGTTCAAAATTTAGTAGAGCTACTTTGATTAAGTGAAAGATCGGTAAAAAAAATATTGATGAATTTTAGAAATATAAATGTCTAATAAATTTTAAGTACTTATTGAGACAAATTGAATAAATTAAACAAGACATCACACAATTTTATACTTTATAATTCTTGTACTCAATATATAAAAATAAATTTATAATACGTTGTACTAAGTACTTATAATACTTTGTATTAAGTAGTGTTTAAATTCTAAATAGAAAAAATTATAAGAAATGGAGAGAGTAAAAGATGGCTATAAATATTACAATAAACACAACTTTTTATATATAAATCATTAATCAATTTAGGGGATTCAAGAGACAATTTTAAGGCTTAGAAATCAAATGGAGGCAAATATGTAAAAGAACATTTTTATGAATATAAATATCATACACTATACGTAAAAGAATTTGGTAATACTTTTTATAAGGTAGAGAATTAGTATTATTAAAGATAACATTCATTAAGTACAGTATCAACTTTAACAAAAGTACAGTACAATATCATTTTTTTAATTTTTTTATATGGAATATCATCTTGGTTATGTACTTTTACGTAATAACCTAAAATTATTAGATAGTACTCCGTAGTTGATATTTTTTAATTTCGTTTTGCTATTCTAATTCATTTTTTAAAAAAATTTAACTTAAATTTTTTTTTTCTTAAGTTTTTAAATTATTTGGTTGATGTTACTGTCTTATTCATTAGTTACTTATTTAGAACTTGGATTTATTAAATTGAAATAAATTACTTTTATATATCAATTATTATCTCATTAATCAGATATTTACATTAATATCAAAATTTAAATTTTTTATTAGTTTTTAAAGTAATTTAAATCATAATATCAAAAGATAATTTTCAATTTTTTAAATGACTTAAATCATAAATTACTATTTGTTGTTTTTTTTCCTACGTGGTTATATTCTCAAATTCTATTTGTTAATTTTGCTTAGGTGGTGAATAAATTTTGTAATTCTTAAATAAAATATAAATCTAATTTATCATTGATCGAAATGATACTTTTGTTGTGGCATGGCGAACCCGTGCGAGGTACCTTTTTTTATTATCATTTTGTATAATATTTAGTTTTTTTAAATAGTTTAACAAAAAATTTAATATCTAAAAATAATTTTTTAGTCCTGTAAAAAAGATAAGTATTTAGTTTTTTAAATAATTTAAATCCTAATAAATCACGACTCGTTGTTACCTACGTGTCAAAATTCTAAAATCTCATTTGTTAGTTTTGCTTAGGTGGTGAGTGAATTTATTTCAAAAATAAAATAAAAATCTAATTTTTAATTGGTCAAAATAATACCTATACTTATGTGGCGCCGAATGCTCATGAAAAATACCTACTTTATTTATATAATATTAGATAATCATATGGGATTTTATGACCGCATTTAACATTCAAGCCATAAAATTTATCATAAATTTAGTGTCGAGCCATGTAAACGACAAATAAGTATTATTGTGACACTTATGATGCTAAGTCAGCAAATTTTTAATAGATTTTTTTAGATAAAATTTTGTATTGAATTTTATTATCGATAAATTATAATGATTTTTTATTCCTAGACATAATAAGATACTAATACATGCAAATTTAAAACTCCTTAAAAGCATAGTTAATAAAATACTAAATAAGGGATTATATGCTCTTCATAGAGTGCTCTACATGTTATAAAATTTATATTCTACCCAAAATAATTTGGGCATCGCCCATCACAAAACTAGTATATAAATAAAGGAGGTATTTTTCGAGAGCAATTGACACGCCACTTAAGCAATTCAACCAATGAAAAAAGAAATTCACATTTTATTTTGGAATTAAAAAAAAAATCAATTGCCACATAATTAAAATTAACAAATGAAATTTTAGTTTAGAATTAAAAAAAAAATTAACAAATGAAATTTTAGTTTAGAATTAAAAAAAAAACAAAAAAAAAGCTACGAATAGTAAATTAGGATTTAAATTATTTTAAAAAAAACAAAAAGTATCTTTTCATATTAAAAATTTATCCTAATATCCGATGAAAGAGATAACATATACAAAGGCATGCCAATGAAAAAAAAATACATTTTATTTTTGAATTAAAAAAATAATCGCCACATAAAAATTAACAACTAATATTTGATAGTCAACTAATGAAAAAAGAGATGCACATTTATTTTAAAATTAAAAAATCAATCGCCTTATAAACAAAATTAAATATGAGATTTGAGACTTTAAAATTATTTTACAAAAAAAAAAAGAAAAAAGTTTATTTTCACATTAAAAATTTTGTCCAGCACATTTGGTGAAAGATCAATAACCATGAGATTCAAATCGTGCCGTTAACACTTACAGTGTATTAGTTTTCTCATTAGATTAGTTGTGTCATTTTTATTTTTAAGCCAAATTAAATCGAATTATTGATTAACTACATAAGTGAGACAATAAATAATGAGCTAATGCCAAATTGATTAATGATAGCCGCATATTGATTAAATTGAACTTGTGACTTTGTGTATAGTAAAACCATCAAATTGATTGAATTGAAGAAATATACATTTCATTTTATTGCAATACAAACTAAAAATTGTTATTCTCCCGGCTCACGTAAATACCTTCAAAAAGAAAGCTCTTAATGATTAATGAAAAAAAACAATTACATGAACTGAAGTAATTATGTTTAAGTGTAAAAAAAAAAAAAAAAAGGGACAATAATAGGCTGAGTTTAAAATTATGTTTGGTTTGAAATCATATTGGGTTAAATCAGATCAAATTAAAAATCAGGTCGGGTTATTATCAATTTGGGTTCGACAGATGAGATTGAATTGGGTATTTTTTGGGTCAATTTCAAATCAAGTCAAATAGATGGTTTTTTCAAGTCAGGTTGGTTTTGACACTTCTAGCCCTACGTGATATCAAACGACCCTGAAATTGATTACTAATGAACCCTAAGTTTTCCATTTTTATTTTGAGTCTATGAAATTTTGAATCTTCCTTCATCTTTATTGATGTTCTCAGTATTGATATTAGATGATGATTATGCTTGATTGATGTTCCATATCTCCAAAATCCTACTAATGAACCCTACATTTCCTTAATAATTAATTATTTCATATTATATAAACTTTGCCTTTTGCCTTCTCCAGAACTAAGAGAAGAAATCCCCTTTCAAAATTTACCAAAGTAACAGCAAATAATATTTGTTTTGAAGGAGTCTTCAAAAAAAAAAAAAATATACTACGTATATTGATTTGAAGGAAAACATTATTATTACATGTTCCTGAAATATTTCCATAAAAGTCAATTTGAAATACATGTACAGTGGTGCAACACCATCAAAATTGAACACAGTTCTGTATAGTCCTTCACATGCCACTTTTGTACAGAGCGAAGGAAAATATGTACCACAGGCAACCCTCGGCCCTTGCCCCAAATAACCCCCCAAAAAAACGAAAGATTAAAATTGATCTGAGCATGACAGAATTGATGAAGCCTTAGATAAGCTACCAAGATCATCCCTTGCAAATTGAAAGAAAAGCTACTGAGATCATAAATCCTACCCACCAAATGCTATACTTGAAGAGATTGCACTCCAGCTTTATCATTTTTATCAATTTTACCAGCGAAGGAAGCACCTCCTTGAGTACCGGTAGTTGGCGATGGAGGTCGTTTATCATCCAAGCCAAAGAATGGGCAGTTTTGGAATGCATCCAGGCTGCTAGCTAGAAGACGATTCAGGCCACTCAGGCTATCACTTAAGATTAGATCTTCACTATAGTATTTACATGAAGGTATATCCAGCTCTAAAGGTCCTAATGAGTCAGGCTGGAAATCAAAAAAAAAATTATAGAAAGCAGTGAGAACTACAATATACTGATATCGTGATACTGAAAAGGATAATTATATACACAAAGAGAAACAGTACAAACAAGAGGCAAAAAAAATACACTACATGTACTTTGTTGTACCTCCAAGGTTTAAATTTTAAAGAATGCACTAGGTACCCACTTATGTTTTTAAAAGCACCATGTACCTCCAAGGTTTGCAAATATAAAAAAATCAAAATCCCCCACTTAACCTGAATGACTAACCAACAAAATATTATATCGTGAAACCCTCTCACTAATTAACCAAAACCCAAAAACTCGTTTTGATTAATGGGAATGGTAATGGTAAGAAACACTTTAAGGTTTAGTTAACCATTATATATTAAGGGAGGTGGGGGAGTTAGTTAACAGCATTATTGACATTAGTTCAAGGGTAGGTGAGAGATTAATTGTACAAGGTTTATGCTGAGTTATTTTTTTAACACAACGGTATCTCATGTATTCTTTAGAACCATTAGGCTACAAGATTCAATATCTAAAAACAGAAGAAAAAAAAAAAATTAATGCACAAACCAGTACTTAAACAGAATGATGAATAGAGATGAAAACAGACCCAATAAATATCTGTCAGACTACTAAAATCTTTAGCAGAATTCCCAGTCTCATGAGTTTCAGATGGACACTCATCCATTGGGTCTTCCGAGACATTTCCCTTAACCATGGCTTCATCCTGTGATCCAAACTAATTAAAAAATTGTGGAAGTGTTTGGGGACAATAGCAATTAACATGTTTACAAGTAGCCCGTCAGTAAAAAAAAATATTTAGAAGTTTTGCAGTTAAAGATAAAAACCTGAACTTTATTGCCGGTCCCGGCTGGACTAGTTTGATAAGTTTCAGAGCCAGCAATTGAAGTTGCCGCTAAAACCTGGTTGTTAGGGACAGCTCTGTTCTGAAATGAAAATGCATCACGCGTTTCTTCAGCATCCCAAATTGATGATGAATGTGTAGAGGATCCAGAGAAGCCAATCTTGCTTTGTCTATATATATGGGCAGCAATTGCTGCATCAAATGAGTCACAAGTGAACGGAATTGCCTCAACACACTGAGAACTTCTAAAAGCAGGACTCTCAACTCCATTGGCATCCATAACATCTACATCTTCAGTTAACAAGTCCCCGACACTAGCATTTGTAAGGCTATCAGCCCACTCTCTGGTTGACAAACTCATACTCTTTCTTGCTCTCTGGTCAACCTACACAAAGCACAAGGATCAGAACTTGAGAAGTTTTAAAGAACTGTGACGACAAGCAGTCATCAGATATTCTTTACAACAATTGATCATCAAATACAATTGATCATCACCCAAAAAAAAAAAAAAAAAAAAAAAAAAAAAAAAAAAAAAAAAAAAAAAAAGAACAGCAAAAAAAATTGAAAATCCCCTTCCAAAGCTCTGCCAATAAAAACCTTAGCTGTTTATTATAAAGAAATCCCAGCCTGAGAGTTTGCTAAAAATAGCATGGACAAGCACTACAACACTTTATGTCTACATCAAGCATCCTCAACATATTTCATAATAAAAATTAAAAAATTGTGATGTCTCAGCCAAGTCCTCCAGCTAGCACCCTATGGTCAGATATCAATTTACCAAGTTATTAAAAGGAAAATAATTAAAAGGACTTAAGACAAGAAAAGCCTGTGATATATCTTGAAAAGAGAAAGTTAGTAAGAAGAAACTTGAAAAAAATGTATGAAGAAATTATATGAATACACAATAAGCTATTATGATACCCACATGAAAAAAAAAAAAAAAAAGAAAAGGCAACTTACAAATGTTTCAAATTTTGTAAAATTAGATTCATCACAAGGTTCATTTTTCTTTGACAATACACTCGATCCTAAGTTGTGCATCTCAAAGATATCATTGGAAAGTTCAACATCAGCATTCTTATTTGCTTCACCAGAAGTAGCGACTGCTGACTCTTTAAGAGCTCTTTTTTTTGTTTCTAGGATTTGCTGATCACCAAGAAAGTGATCAGCAAGTATTTCCAGATTGCTCTTCTTCTCTATTTGTGGAAGTGATTGTTCCCGAAGTGCTTCCTGTCTTCTACTTTCTTGCACATCAAAATTGATTGCAGGTACAGAAGTTGTTTGTGAGGTGCCTGATTGAAGCTCAGTGCTAGAAATCCAGCCATATCTTCATAAAGAAAAGAAGAAATCATCATATGAATAATTAGCACTTCAATATAAAACCTATCATGAAGGGAAGTTGGAGGCAGAGAGAACCTCAATCGGAAAACTGCAGGGCTACCAATCACGGCATAAACTTCAGCAGCAGTTACAACAGAATCTCGAGTCCATCTCTGATATCGCACCAAATTTTCTCTTTGAATGTTGGCTGGGAAAAGCATGAGCTCCCCAGATGCGACACTAGAATTGCCCCACTTACGATCAAGATGTTCCAGAATGGATGATATCTTCTTTCGTGTACTTAAAGTCAGTTCCAAGAAAGGATTACGCTTGTCCTGCATAACCGTCCATGAAATCCCAACATTAACATTTTTATTTAGCTGTTTTCACTGATTCAATGTGACAAGCAGAGAAACCACTTTTATCTCACCATTTCTAGTGCCTTTCTGGTAATTTGATCAATTGGGAACAGCTGTAGTTTAAGTTTCATGGTAGCTTGTACATTGTCCTCAATGGCCATGCTTTTGGAAATATTTGATAAGTTTACTTGTTCTTGCACTGAAGGGCCTAAATCAGTTTGCTCTGTGCAGTTCAACTGTAGTTTAAGTTTCATGGTAGCTTTTACATTGTCCTCAATGGCCATGCTTTTGGAAACATTTGATAAATTTACTTGTTCTTGCACTGAAGGGCCTAAATCAGTCTGCTCTGTACAGTTCAACTGACCTATATAAGTTTGAGTCATCAATAAATTGGAAATATATCAATCAATTTAGGTACATAATTAACATCAATCCTAAAACATTTGCTTAAATGGACAGCACTGTCAATCCACCTTGATGGGAAGTGCGATTTTCACCAGAAGTGCGCTCCAGGTGCTCAGCAGCATCAGCAACCAAGGAGACACCAGCCATGGCAGCCTTCTCCCATCTTTTGATTGCAGCTGCAGTAACAGCACCTGTATCAGACCAAATATGACTCTAAATATTACTAATTTTGTAAAACAAGGCAGGGCTCAGTAGCCTTCATTACTCAATGCTGATAGTATGTCTGCTAAATTTTTTAGAAATAAAATTGGAAAGCAATGAAAGACTTAATAAAAGATTTGGGAAGAAAAGAACTGCAAAACCATCTTTAGCCCTGTTCTCTTCCATTTAAAAAGCTAATATTAAGCAAAAGTCAGTTTTAATTGACAAAAACAAGTTTCAATCAGTATACATACAAATATCCAAGAGAAAAAACACTAGAGCATCTGCAAAAATAATCTTTGATCAGTAATAATTATCAGTTCAGTAAAGTTGATCAGGTGAAGAGAATAATGCCCAAGTATGATGATAATTTTTATCAAACAGAACCAAGAGTAAGTTTCAAATGTAATGGTGTGACCTGAAAGTAATACTAAGTAATTAAAGAATGATGGAAGAAACTGTTTGACCCAAGAGATGATAAATTCTTGCATGCAATAAATTAACGAATCGAGTGTTCAGTAAAGTAAGCAAGGATATGCCATCACTAGGCATCTATCACAAAGCCCACTAAGGTAGGCTATCATTAGTTCTCTAACAATCTAACTCAAAGATCACTAGGAAAAGCACCCAGGGAAAGAGTATGACAAACAAAATTCAAATGCAATTTAGATAGTTGCAGAATCTATGTATCAGAAATAATTAAACTTCAAGTCACATTCAAAAGGTATCCAGTTAAACAAGCTCATGATTTAAAGAATGAGGGGAAAATGAAATTTTATGTATATGTTTTAAAGCTCTATACCATCAACCTACAGTAAGTCCAACAAAATCAAGACTTGTAATTCATGGCTACGAAAGATGAAGGTATTGTACCAGATTTTCGTCGTTGCCTTGATGGCTTTTTATGAGAGGGCTCTCCTTTATTGCTACTGCGAATAACGCCAATACTAGAACAACGTCGTGTTGAAGACCCTTTTCCTGGGCTCACTTTCTGACCATTCTGGCTGTCAACTAGAACAATTTTTACAGCTCGTGCATCATTGGCAGACAACTTGTTCTGATTTGTAGCAGTAGGCAAAGGAGAGGAGTGATTTTCCCCTTGAAGTGCTTGTTTCTTTACATTCTTCTTTCTATCTTTCATAAGTTGGTTTTCCTGCAAGCAGAAGGAAATCTCCAGTACTGAAGTTGCTCCAAAAATTCAGAATTATATTCACAATGACGGAAAACTTAGTTCAGACTCACCAGTGTCTCTACGATAGTTTTAAACCTACGTGGCTTCAGATGAAGTTTTGAGGCCTTGCAACTGTACTTTTCCAACAAAGACCACCTGATGCATTCAAAAAATAAATGCAAAATAAGAAAATTCTAATGGTACAGATGTGAGATGGTAAACAAGAACAATTGGTTAATAAGTCAACAAAGACCTAGGCTATTAGAATAGTCACATGTGTAACAACTCCATCAGCACAAGAGGAAAAAAAAACCTTAACAAACTATTTAGTGACAAATCACATCTAACTCAAAGTTCCAGGTTATGACCAAACGGTTCCATGTTATGCACAAAAGAACAACCCACAAAGGCAATTCCCCAAAGTGAAAAATATTGCAATTGCTAATTTGTCATTCTTTGCAATTTAATTATTAATCTAAAGGCAATAACTTCACAATATCTACTGTTGTTTCACTGCTGGCATCATCAATTTTCTTCTAGACGTGTTACTAATTGGAAAAAATGGAGGATATCACGAAAGATTGCACCAATAAATTCTAATTAAATAATCAAACTGAAAGCAAGTGCTCCTTAATACGTAATTGCAGACAAGAGGCTTTCTTTATGTCTTCCACATGTTTGGACATCATAGTCCACAGGCAGCCATTACCTTACAGACCTAGGAGGTATTTAGTCCACAAGGCATGGTGAGTGTGGCAATAAACAGCTTACCAGCTAAAGAGAGATCTTTAGGCACAGACCTATGGGATCTCAACTCCATTTACTGCTTAATTTTAAATCCAACACTCAACTCACGAGATGAACCCTACTCTATTTCCTAATTTCTTGCTAAAAATGCCTCCAAATCCTCTTAAATTTAAATGTTGAAAGGTATACTTCAATCTGCAACTGTAGAAAAATAAAAAATCAAACACAAAGGAAGGTAGCCTCAAATAAGGTTATTAAACATGAATTCTATGGCACTGTACCTACCGGATCCCTAATTAAATAATGGGTATACAATACATCATCCATCAAGCAAAGATAGAAAACCTGCTAACACTGTTTTTAATATAGCGCACTAAGGACTAAGCTGAATCATATATCAAGCAAAGATAGAAAACCTGTTAACACTGTTTTAATACTATGGCACTAAGGACTAAGCTGAAATTATTACTGAGCCTATTTCCTAGCTAAGTTGAAGTGAAGTTAATCCAAAATAATATCAGAGTTATTTTACTATATAACACTCTGTATTTTAGAAGTAGTAGATTTAGTTCAATTAATTTCAGTTTAAAGCTAATAAGTTAGGATAAATTCATCTGGGATTAATTTGATAAAATAAGTTTAAGGGATTTTAGGGTTTCCAAGTGAAAGAAAAGTTACTTCTACCTTCAATGGCAGTTCCAATGCGAATTGGCGATACAAATTTTTTAAAAGGGGCAAATTGTTTGGTGACACACCCTATTAGTAAGATCTGACTTTGCACAGAGCACGAAGCACAAATCAAAAAGCTATACAAAATCTATATTGTTCAATCACCTCAAGCCCTAAACTTTTCTTGTCAATATATTAATCATTATAAACTGCTCGAGTTGGAAATTCACATAACTTATATAGACATCCTATACCTGACTGAGCAACAAAGTGCACCAGTTATCCCTATATTGTATTGATAGGGAACTTCTATGATAAGGCAACATATCCATTTCATACACCAAAACAATAGAGAGAATCATTGAATGTGAAGACAATGTTGAAACAAAGACTGATTAGAAATCATATTACCAGCGCAACATTGCAGCATTAGTGTCTTTGGAATTTTTGGCATCCAAACACAAGTCAGGACCCAATAACTTGTTCATGCGCCTCACAAGTCGGTAGTAATAATGTCTGACCTGGATCATAACAATTAACAAAAGAAACTGTTAACAAATGTACAATATGGACATGGAAACATATACATGCAATCATTCAGGATACCTGGTCCTTGTTTTTACTTTGCACCCGACATGTGATCTTTTCAAAATTCTGCACTTGTGAAATAGTAGATACCCTATTAGAAAATACAAATATACAATATATCACCTATAAAACTAAGGAAAGAACTTGCCTTGCCAACTTGCCGCAATGCAGTGAAGAAACTTTCCTCCTCCTCCCGTGTCCACGCAGCCCACTGTCGGGTTGGTCGTTTTGCTGCTAAATGATGAAAACCTAAGTTATGCTGACTCTCCCTTAAAACATAATATAAACTACAGCTTACCAGGCTGTGAAGCAACACCATTGTCAGATGTGGATGATATTGTCGGTGGTTCTTCGCTGTGACTAACATCGGTACAAGGACTATGCTGTTTAAGGCATTGTAAAGGAACCTTTTCCGGTGACTGCATACTTACAACATGACAAGATATCTACACTTTCATGACGTACTCCAATCTTTAACTTCAATCGATGACGATATAACCTCCGAATCTACATCAACCACAAGCTTAATTACACTTAAGACAACAATTTAACTAAAGAGACCAAATAAAAATGTGTGAATCATCAAGAAAAATCATAAACGTTATTGATATCAACATAACAAAACTAATTGATGCTCTATGACACAGATAACCATTCATCCATAAGCAAAATATTTTCTTGGCGCAATCCGAAAACCTCACCCACGGAACAGATGAGGACAGTTGAAACTTTCACCAAAGATGGCATTTATCATCAAATACGCGATACAAATTAAATTAAAGATTCCAACAGAAACACAATGCAGTTGAGTTTGATTAATTCCTTAAATAAAAAATTATCAATCGAAATCTCAATTAATACCAGCTAAAGGAAGAATCAGGTTCCCTTATTTCCCCAAAAAGTTAATTTTTAAGGAAATACATAGATTCAATTCATCTAAATCCGACTAATACTCAAGGAACACACACAAAAATTAACGAATTTGAACTGATGCACCGGAAAATGAAGTAGGAGCAAAAGAAAAAAAAACAGAAAAAACACCAAAAATTATAGAAAAAATTGATAAAATTGAAATCAAAAGTTATTAAAGAATAAACCTAATTACCGAATTTCAGCAACAATTGCAAAAAGCTTGATCATTTACTGGAAAATTTATGGACATAAAACGAAAATTTGAAAGCAAATGAACCCTAAAATTGCAAAAATTAAAGAGAGAAATGTACCACAACTGAATCGTCGGTGACGATGATGGTAGCCGGGGTGACGAACAACCTGCAAAGCTTCTCTGAAAGTTTATTTTTGATTTTTTTTTTTTTTTACCTTTTTTTTTTCCTTTTTTTCTTTTGAAATTCTTTGACTTCTATTTAAACCATGAGAGAATATGTTACTTTTTTGTTTTCTAATATCTAAGGGTATTTCCTTAAAAAAAAAAAAAAAAAAAAAAAAAAAATCAAAATCTAAGGGTATAATTATCAAGTTACGTATTTAAATATGGGTAACTATATAATTTCAACAAAAGCTTAAAGATCGCTTCAATGGAGGAGGACATCAGTCTTAGCCTTTAGGCTAACCATGTCCTTTATTTTTCCCTTTTTGTTAGAGCAAGATTAGTCATGCTTGGTCTTAAGATTTTTTCCCATGTCACATCATATTTTAATAATTTTTAATATTTTATAATTATGTTAAGACTCTTTAAAATTCAACTAAATTTAGATCTTTATTTCTCAGACTCATTTAAGATTTCTTAAATATACATACTATTTTTATTTTCCTTTTTTATATATGATATTTTAATAGTATAATTTGCAATGGTGTCGTAAGTTACATATCTTACATAGCTGAAAAATAATATCAAAACCTTAGATACAATATTATAAATAATAATGAAATTACATGAATATTTTAATATATATATATATACACACACACACACACACAATACCATAGCCGTAAAATTTAAATTTTTTGATAAAAATTATAGCAAATAATAGAATACTTTAGATTAAAATACAACAAAAAAAAATAGCAAATAAAGGAATACTTTATATTAAAATACACTAAACAGTTCTATCAATAAAAGTAAATACAACAGTCAATTGCAATTAAATTTACACTTTACATTTTTTTCAATAGAATTAAATCAAATTATTGTTAACGATAATATTTTTCAGGAAAAAAATAAAATAAAAAATGTTGTGCTTTACGTACGCAAAATACAGTGTATGAAGTATTAAAATGAGTCTTAAGTTGGGTCTTGAATTTTGAAGACTCCATTCAAGACTTTGTTAAGACCTTGCTTCATAAATGCATAAATTTTGTGCAGTCTTGTCTTAAGACGATTTAAAAGTTATTTGCTGATGTCATGTATAGTCTTAAGACCTAGGACTAATATTGCTCTTACTCCCTCTGGTTTTTTTTATAAGCTAGAGTTGGAATTTTACACTATTCATATGTCATCATTAACTTGATTTTTTTTTCATCAATATATAATATATAAATATGATCATATAATATGTTCTTAGATTTGTCTTATTGTCTACTTTTATAAATTAATTTTTTTCATAATTTTTACTGATCTCTAATTAAATATATTGATGGTCAAAGTAATGTCTCGGCAAATATGCAAATCCAACTCTAGCTTATATAAAAAAAAAAGTATGATTTTAGTTGAAAATGGTGGTAAACATGTTGGTAAAGACGAAGAAAATGAAAATGTTGGTGTTGTAGATGGAAATGGTGGAGGAAATAGTGGTGTTGGTGAGAAATCGAGGGAGGAGGTTGAATGAAGAAATAGGAAGGAGCATCTTGAAATTAACGACGTTTAAAGTACAAAATAAAAGAAAAATAATATTGTTGCTAAAATTCACCATTTAGCCATTGGATAAATGAAATTCGTTGATCTAATAGATCAATGGGGGCGTGTCCCATCGTAAAGTGGCAATTTCCCTTAAAAATTAGAAATAAATAATTTTTTTGACAGGTTAAACAATTTTACTACAGAGTCAGTCATACGACATTTACATATTACTCATAATAAAGATTTGTAAATAAAAAATATCTAGTGAAAAGAACGTACAATACCTTTTACAATCAAAATCATAATTTTTTTGTATATATGACACAGCTTATACTCCACCGCTTCAAGCTTGCTTGACACATGCAGTGATTTTAGATGTCTTCGCATCTTTTCAAGTAGAGACATTTTATCACCACTGATATTTTAATTTAGAGTTGATGACAAGACCTAAATCCATATGAATCTAGATCACTTTCCCAATTATAAGAACTATGAAATAAAAATATCATCCATAGATTAGAATAAAAAACCTAGAATAATTGGGGGGAAAAAACCAGAGATTTAAAAAAAAAAAAAAAAACAAAACAAAAGAGAGACTAATAAAGACAAAAAAAAAACTAAAAAGAAATAAATTTGATTCTAATAACCCAACCTGTTGTCGATTTGCTGATAATAACCCAACTTTTTAATATTTCGGGAAATTCTCTTTGGTAACACTCAAATTTTACTTTTTCTCTTTGGTAAAGTGTCAAAATTTTCATTATCATTAATAACATTATATTATTGATTATAAATATTATACCATTTTAATAAAAAAAATTTAATCATGGTTAAACTTAAAAGTTTTTGATAGTCAAGTTGTTAAGAAAATAATCTGTTCAATGATTTTTAATTAAAAATGCATACAAAGAGATTTGAACCCCAAACCTCATTGAATGGAAACCTCATGTATTACCATCTTAGCTAGACTTAAATCATAATTTATTGTTCCACATTTATATATAAATACATACATGATACATGTATTAGAATGTAGAATAAAAACCAAAAAAATCCAAAAAAAGTTATTGTTGTCATTGTATTCTTATTTACACATGTTAAAAAAATTAATAAGTATTTTAAAGCACCTAATATAAAAATGAAATTATTCAAAGTATCACCCGGAGCAAAGCTCGTGTCACACACTAGTTTAAAATAAAAACCCGAGCCCCTCTCACCCACCAGCAACCTACAACCCACCCTCCCCCCTTGCCTGCGCCCAGCCTCCCCGCCACCCAGGCCGACCCCTCCCTTGATGGCTACCCCCACCCCTTCCCACTTACCTCCTCCTCCAATTTCCCCACCCTAGCTCCCACCCCCACCCATAACCACCCTGAAATGACCCCCCTCCTCGTAACTGTTGGGTTTTGCGGGGTCCAACACCGAGCGAAAACAAAACCCGATAACCGGATCGCATGCATAATAATTACAACATAAATAAAAGCATGCAAAATAAACATAAACATAAGAGAAGATAGAGAAAGAATGCTCACCCTCGTAGCGTGCTTCACTCAACCGTTGAGCTCGGACTTGAAAGCTTTAAGTTCCGCAAGTGCAAGAATCTCCAACGGTTCACACCCTTGCTACCGAACCGTGACTGGTCCCTACCCCGAAGCTTAGTCGGGGCTAGACCAAAAATAACTTAGAGTTTACGAACAAAGGTTTTATCTCTTATGGAGATCCCTTAAAGTTCACCAACTCAAGTTCCTATTCCCAATGCCAAATGATTGGTATTTATAGGAAAATTCCCATCATCTTTCAATGTGGGATAGTTGGTAAAAAGGCACAATAGAATTTAATTTAATTTTAAAATTAAATTAAAAAGCCAAATGAATCACCAAACGATAAGTGTCACATGATGAGAAAGGGGTTAGGTGAGGACCACAAGGGGAGGACCACCTTCCTCTTGCTCCTTAAGCAAACCCACAAAACGACTCCCACATACTCTCGGCCAATCGCAGCGCGCCAGCTGGCATGGCCTGCCTTGGGCGCCAAGGCTGCATCACTGGCGACCTAGCCCCTTGGCTGGGCCTGCCAGCTAGTCGCATGTGATGACAGCCCGCACCAGCATGCCTCACACCATTGCGGGCTGGTGGGTATTGCTGGGCGCTTCTACCGCAGGTCTAGCTTGCGTGCTGCTACTGCTTCTTCCTCGCACAAGACCCAGCGAGCATTTGCTTCTGGCCTTGATTGCGATGGTGCGGGGTTGGTGCTGCTACCTTGCCTAGCAACGCGTGGCTGGCCTTGCAAGCCTAACCTTGCCCGCAATGCTTGCTCGGCCAGCATGCTCAGCCATGAGGTGCATGCCGAGCTTGTGGTCGAGCCTTGCCTTGCGGCAAGGGCTTTGGCTAGCCATGCTAGCCTACCTAACCCTCTATTGGCTAGGCCATTTTGAGGTTAGGATTTTTCCGCGCGATAACTTGTCGTTTGGTTGATTTTTCCGTCTCGTCGATTCCTAAATTTGACTCGACTTACGACGCTCTAAGCTCGGAATCCGGCGTCTTTGTTTGTAAAAACTCTATTGACTCATTTAATCCTTCGGATTAATTCGTCGCTTTGGCTTGGTTACACGATTGGGTGTGACCCGAAGGGTTCAGTCAAGATTAAGTTGTAATATTAATTATTCATTAATATTAATGATCGGAAGCGGCCTCCAACTAGGCATTTCGATCACTTGACCTCACTGAATAATTAGCTTTCTAATTAATTCCGAACCCTCTATCGGAATAATACACTTGTTTGAAGGACACCATTCCTTTCAATCTCCCACTTGTCCTTCCAGACAAGTGTGCTAATTGTGTATAGCCTAATTCCTATGTCACTTAATGTCTCTTCATGAACTATAAGGTAAGATTCTTTGTCATCCTTATTACGTCCAGAAGTGTTTTTTCGATTTCCGAGTTCAACTGTCAATAAGCAGATGATTTCTAAAATTCATCTGAGCACGACCATGCATTTTCACAGTCTCGCTCATCGAGAAGCCTTGTAAACAACAAAGACATGTTCCCTACATTTAATAGGGGGACATTCTCAGTCTTGCATTGTCAACTTCCCTTACTAAGAGGCCCTAGTTGCCCAACTGTTGCCTTTATAATCCCCTTGTACGGCGACAACATCAAAGCGGACTAGTACTCAAACAAGAGAACTAACAATACTCATGGTCGAGGAAAGAGGTTTCAATAGCCATAATGAGTAACATACTTATGATGATTGTTAAATCTCTTAAAGTATTCTCATAGGTCGATCCGGTATATTTCCAAACTGATACCTGTGCAAATGATTTATGACAATTTTGTCTTTGTAGCACAAGAAATGGTGCTATAAATCATACTACACACTAATCTCATGTGGTCATTAGTCGTCCAACTCTCAAATGACCTCGATTAGGGATAATTTCGATATGATATTCAATGTTCACTTATTAGGTGTTTCTTTATCCAAGACATGGCCTTGATACCCTATTTTGAATATTCTCAAATCGAATGGACTCATTATTTAATTCTAAACCACAATTAAATAGAAATGGAATTATAATTTACAGGAAAAATTAAATTACTCCACAAATGAATGGTTTAACA